CTTGATTCTACACCATCATAACCAGGAGCACAATTATTTTTTAGAGAATTTATGTGACTAATAATTTCATTTTTATTAACTGGTTTTAAGAACATGGAACTTAAAGAGTTATGATCAATCTGAAACGTCATCAGGAATCACTATTCTATTATGCATTTTAATACCGATACCCCGATACCGGTGAAAAATTCGTTACAGTAGGTTGCCATGTCTTTTTTATTAGAGAAAGAATTACCTTTGTCGTCAAGAATCTCAAAATTATTTGCAGAACCACATTTTTTTTCATCAACAGCCTCGGAGACAATCTGGTAGATTTTTTTCAGGTTATCTTTATTGTTTTCAATCTTTTTTTTATAGAATTCATATTTTTGTTTTTGTATTATTTTATTTAATTTATTTCTATAGGCTTTATATGCTTCAGTATCCGCTGCATTTTTATTTAATAAAATATCTTTTTTCATTTTATCCCTTCGTTTTATTGCAGATATAATACCATTTGTTATCCACGGCTTTAATTTATTATAGTCCCTAAAATAAACAGTTCTCTTTTCTTTATAGCTCGATGTAGTGACGCACAATGGTAATAAAATTATCGGTAGCAGATTCAGCATCATTGTTGTTGATTATATGGACCCAATTTTCCCGACCAAAATGATCGCCAAGCGTTTCAAGATTTATATTTTCAACTATTTTTGATACTAGTTTACTCCGAGTGCCAACGGCTTGTTCCCCATAAAAATTTATCATTACCGGAAAATGATCGGTCAGATCACCATTCAATATGAAAGAATCAAATTTTAGAAGCCCTGACTTTAGCTTGTTTCTTATAAAAATATGATCTAGGCAAGTAGCACTATTTAGAGTCACTCGTGTGGGACCCCTTATTGTAGCTTGAAAGCCATAAAAACCTAGCAGAGATAGATATTGATTAGTAAGCGAATCATTTTTGTTCAATGTGTTTATGTTAATATCACCTACAAATAGTTCAATATTTTCATTTAGATTGTCTGAAAAAAATCTATCTATGTCCTCAATGAAATAGTGCGTGTTAGTTGAGGGTGGTCTGTATCCACATGTAATTCCATAGGTAATATTGTTAATGGCGAAATTAATTTTATTTTTAACCATATATGTAATGTTGATATTACAGAATTTTTAAAAATTTGAAAATGTCACTTTATTGTCTTTTCATTTCCCTGCTCCACTTCCCGTCCTCACTTCCCGTCCTCTCTTCATTATATTTATGTGGCAGGTATTGTCAAATTTTTTGAAAATTGATGACAATGACATAAAATTTAAGCAAATACCATGAAGCTACGTTCACATTCAATTCAATTTCTGATTTAAATTGGCAAAAATTATGGTTAAAAATAAAATAGTATACTATGCTCGACAGAAAATTTAATTACTGTCTCGAGATATAGTCTCTCGACAGTAATAGCTAATTTCCCGTCTCGGATTGTAATATACTATTACTTATTCTAACACCAGATTTGTTTAGTATAATATTTACGAATTTTGTATTAATCTTTTCACTTACATAGATTATAGACTGTGAGATATAGGGGCTGTTTAGTGGAGTCATTTTTTTGTCTGGCACTTTGAGGGCTGAATGTGGCTACTAAGCTAATGAGAATATGGGTGATTTTAATGCCTGCCTCCCGTTCGAAAATTTGCAAAAGAAAAAAATTGATTTACATGAGGAATTTTTTTTTAATGATCTCAAATTTTTTGGCTTCTAAATAAAAGATTGATATTGACAAATAATTCACCCATAAAAAATACCAGATACTTTACAATAGCTGAAAAAGTGGGGACGAGTGTCAACTTCCAAGAGAAAAGAAAAGAACCTTCCGCGTTTACTTTTTGTCTGGTAATCGAGAGAATGGAAGGTTTTGTTGTGAAAATATCGCTGAAAAATCGCCAGACGGTAATCCCAGTTCGAAGTCGAGTTTTCCGGCGAAACATTCTGTGGACATTTCGAACAGGTGGCAGGCACTAAAACCACCTATATTCTCATCAGCTAACTAGCAACATTCATCCCTCAAAATGCCAGACAAAAAAAAATGACTCCACTAAACAGGCCCTATCTCACGGTCTATTAGCATGCCATCATTCTTATTAATATCTCCATGGTTATAGTAAATATTATAATTCCTAATGTTAAATCGGTTTGTATTATCAATGTGCCAGCATTCACTCAAAATAACAATGTCACAAAAAGCCAAACCATAAGCCTGCAAAAAAGAAACGAGTTCATTAAAATTTTTATACATGCACCTAATATTAAAATGTACAATATTCAAATGTTTCCTATCAAGAGGCAACAGAGAACTAATTAACTCGCAGTCTATACTCTCCTGAGTATCACTATTCAAGTTGTCCAGCTCATTCCCAATGCCAATTTCGTATATTTCAGCAGCCATTGAACCCTCCATAATCTATTTTACTCTTTAGTACCTGTATTAAGTATTTGTAAGACGGGCACTCAGGATCACTTGCAGCGTGATTTATGTTATGTGAAAAAACAAAAAACATTAAATGCTCCTGGCCGCCCTGGAGACGAAACTCTTGCCGAAGGCTTAAATAATCTTTTTCATTACATCGAAGAAAACAGAGAAGAAAAATGCCAGTTTTCTTTTACTGAATTACTCACTAAATTCAAAATCATTATAGAGAGGAAGTTGTGGTGTTTGAATCGGTGCCAAAACCGGCAATTTTTTGCTTCAAAGGCTCATGTATCGAATTTGTGAAAAAAAATATGATTCTAAATTATACAGGTGAAAATGAGCAAAAAGAATCCATTATCAAAGCTTGTGCTAAGATCTTGCGAGAGGAAATACGTTCAAAAGCCTTCAATTTAGATGAATACCCGTCTAATGAATTCATCGAAAATGGAGGGCTTGACGAACTTCCTAAATTGTTACTTACATTTTTGACCCAGTTATGTGAAAAACTAGCTGCCGACAAACGAATTCTAACCGCAGCCAACTTATTGAGTCATACCTTTCTCCAATTTTTTTGGGCTTAGTAGTTTATATTCACAACAAGTCTGGAATGAGAATTTTAATCGACCTCCTCTGCGCATTGGGACTTCCGGTTACTTATAAAGAAGTACTAAAATATGAAGCAACAACATCATCTCTGAATAACTATCAGTTTCCTATAGACACATTTTGCCAGTTCGTTTTTGACAATGCAGATTTTAACACCAAGACCCTAGATGGTAAGGGAACCTTTCACAGCTTGGGTGGTATCGTTTGTGTTTCTCCTTCATAAAATCTCAGTGTTGAAAGTGTTCCACGGCTGAAGCAAACTCTCAACATTATCGACCGTGAGGAATTTGCAAAGATTCGAATTTCTACATATCAAAAGTCAAGAAATGGTCTAAAAGATCTAACCATTGTAGATACGTTTCGAGGTTGCTCAGTCTAATTTAGCGGAAATATCTCTTCGCAACTGTGCTTGGCTTTCAACATTTTTGTTTGATTTGGATAACAAAGCCTCATGGAACAGATACATGGCAAATGCAGTCTCGGGGCATTTTGAAACAACATCAGTAGTCCCGCTGCTTATGATTAATCTTGATCCAGGCAATCTCACTACTCTTCACTCTGCTCTACTTTTTGCACAAAAAATGTCTACTAGGCATTCCCAGGGTCTATGCTCTGGGACTTTTGACCAGCCTCTTTTTCTTAAAGCGACTGACGTAATAGAGTCCGCTCCACCTGGCAGTCCTCTCAAAAATATATTTGTCCGTCTGGGCGGATTTCATCTATTGATGTCATTCCTTGGATCAATTGGATACATAATGAGTAATAGTGGGCTGGAAGATATGTGGGAAACAGTTTTTGCTAAGAACAGTATTCCATCTATGTCAGCAGGACATTCTTATGCTCGATCTTTGAGAGCACATTTCATAGCACATCTAGCTCTATAACTTGATCTCCTTAGGCATCAAAACATCGATGAGTTGAACCCAAACGCTTTCAAAAGTCCTCATTCTTTCCCCAACGAAGACGCCGAGATGACCTCCGAATTAGAAAAATTTACCACCATTATAAGTGCCCTTCTAGAGAAGGAATCTTGAAGAAGTAGAACTGGCAAACTTTGGTGTCAATATATCAAACTCATAGACCTGGTTAAACTATTTATTTGTGCAGAAAGGAAGGGAGAGTTTGATCTACATTTTTTTTTGTTTTGGTCAGGTGTGTGGACCGACATGACCATTGAGCAAGTTTTGATGCGATCTCTCAAAACTGACTTGACTCATGGTCGAGGGCTTAACAGTAACGTGGTATCACAGTGGGCACTCTTTGCGCCACACTGTGCTAAAGTCTGCGAGTCTCTCGAAAATCTGGCTGAAGCTAAGTCCATGACATCTGATCAACACGTTGAACTCTGACCATCAAGAAAATTCTATGATTCCAGAGATTTGGAGCAGATGTCTGACTGGTTGAGAAACCAATCCCCGTTTAGACGCTCTAGCTCAGAGTTGATTTCGCTAAATACTGGAATGGTAGCCACATCCGATATTAATTGCGATGAAGCATCGGAGGAAGGTGACAAGCTTTATGAAAAAACGCTTGGCAGTTACTTTCAAGATATCAAACTCAGAAGAAACGACAAAGTTAGATCACTAGCTTTTCTCAGTAAAACAGTCAAAACGTACGGAAACGAGAAGATGCCCGTTAATACCACACAACTTTTCAACAGAATCATATGTAGCTACAAATCAGAAGCACATCTCAGACTGCTTTAAATTTGAGCTAGCACCTTATCCAGCTTCACTCTTTCATGAAGGAATTTTAAGAAAAACAACAAAATCGGCACTTTTCCAGTACTTGGACAAAAAGTGTCCTCCTTCCCATGTGATTTCAGACGTGATGGAGGTTTGATAATTCACAAGTTGATTTGGCAAATTCCCTTTACGTATAGCAATATTTTTGATCAATATTACAAATACATTACATACCACTATGGGACAAACTGTATTGTAGTATTTGATGGCTACGACTGTAAAAATACAAAAAAACAGGAACAAAATAGACGCAGCAGAAAGTCAGGTAGTCCAGATATAGAAATCAGCGGCACCGGACTCGCCAGAATAAATCAGGAACAGTTTTTCAGTAATGTGAAAAACAAGAAAGCCTTTATCAAGATGTTAGTTGACAATCTTCGTTCTAAACGAATCAATGTCATACAATCTGTAGGGGATGCAGATTGTGATATTGTCACTAAAACTGTAAATGCGAGTGAAAAGAATGGTAACGTAACATTAGTTTGCGAAGATACTGATCTTCTAATCCTGCTATTGCATTTTTCAAAAAAAGAAAATGTTTTCATGATGAGACCTGGAAGGCAAGGCACCCCAAATAGAATAACTAAAATTTTCGATTTACAGAACAAAATAAAATCCATTCTGAAAAACATTCTCTTGATTCACGCCGCAGGGGGTTGCGATACTGTGAGTGGTTTGTACAAAATAGGGAAAATCAAAGTTCTTCAACTTTTAGAGAAGCTTCCTGAGTTGAGAAACGATGTTTCTATTTTTTACAATCCGAAAGCAGCCAAGGATGATATAATAAAATATGGTGAGCGCTTCTTAGTATCCCTTTACGGATATACATCAACAATTACATTAGATGAACTTAGATTCAAAAAATACAATGCTATCACCGCCAGGCAAAATATTGGCACAAACTTTAATTTGTCTGCTCTTCCTTCCACTACAGATGCCGCAATAGCTATTTACCTAACAAGTGCGAAAAATATTTTCCGCAAGTGTTAGGTACAATATTTTTCCTACAGGCGAAAAAATGTAAAATTTTTCTTTTTTTTTTGACATATCAGTGCGGTAAAATTTTTTCCGCACTGACAGCTTCCGCACTGATATGTCAAAAAAAAAGTTTTACCGCACCGTGCGGGAAAACTCATTTTCCGCACGCATATCAGTGCGGAAAATCGATTTTTCCGCACGGCTGTAGGAAAAATTCCATATCTCCAGAATTTATTTTCAAATACAAGAGTGGTTGGACTACTCTCCTGATCCATTGGAATGGGGATGGAAAGACGTAAATGAAGAGCTACATCCTATTACAATGAAACAAGAGGTAGCTCCAGAATTTATCTTAAGAATGATTTTTTGTAACTGCAAAACGGGATGCACGAAGCAATGTAGTTGCAAAAAATCAAGCGTTTTTTGCTCAAATTTGTGCGGTTCTGGCCAGGGAAATTCCTGCGAAAATATTTTTCAACAAAGTTCTCCTTCCAACAATACTGAGTCCGATGAAGAAATGTAAATAGGCCAGGTTTTAGTGTATTTAGTTAAGTTAGTATGTAATTAGGTTAGGAAAGTTTTTTTTTTAACACTGCTTCTGAAAATGGAGTTTTTCGCATGCTAGGCTGCCGCTGAAAATTGTGTGCGAAAAAAAAAAACGCACGCTGTTCTATTTTCGCACTATATATATTCTCTATATTGACTTGACACAAACAGACACCAAAGTAAAGTTGTCAATTTTTGTCAAATTGTCTAGGTTTTTTTATCAATATGAAATTATTGTTTAAACTGTTTTGGCCGTGCGAAAAAAGTTGTTTTCAAAATTGGTTATTTGAATAACTATTGTTGTTATCTGTTTGTACCTATCATAACAGACTAAACAAGTTTCTATATATATATGTAGTATGTAGGTAGAATACACGTTAGTAATATTATGTTTCGTTAATCGAATTTGTTGTATAAAACAATAAAATTTTCATAAAAGTTTAACGGAAAAGCTATTCTGAAGCGTTTAAAATGGATTTATATCAGATTTCCTACAAAACGCAATAACATTCAAGTTATATTAGCTTGCAGGTGGAAAGCGGTATTTTGGCGGTATTTCTTCGGCTTCTATCTCAGTAAGGGTAGTACCCAGGAAGTTCAAAAATAATTCTTTTTAAAGGTTTTTTTGTGCTCTCCAATTAATTGCTCTTCATATTTTCTCCAAAAATGAGTAGTTTTCGCGTAAAACGTGAATTAAGCAAGAAATTTCAAAAATCCAAGATGGCGGCGCCATTTTCACAATGTTCCCCTAGGGGGAGGTCTGGGGACTTTTAGTATGTTCATCAGGATCATAAATCCTATTGATTTAGACTAGTCGCAGCTTTATGTTATTTTGTTCCCAATAAAATCATAACTGTCTTGGGGTATTTAGCCTGTTTTGTTTTAAATGGTTTAGGTACCCTGTATAATAATATAACTCATAATATTGGAAAAATCTCGATTTCATCTATTATGTACGCTTGCCAGAGACAGGCTAGCTACAATTCTATTATTAAAAATTATTGTATTATATATTTAAAGCTTCCTAATTTTTTTCGCCTGCTTGTGATGATCTTTTTTTTCTTTCAAATATCTACCTACCTATTACTTAAACATTCCCTTACTTATTTCGCTGTATTTTTATCTTCAAGCATTGTATGACACACACCGAATAGTTAACATCTCTGCGTAAATAATAAAAAGTAGATACCTACTTATGCACAGACTGATAGCTCTGAATACTCGTCTGAATATCACCCTCACTTAAACTTTTTTTTTTAAATTTTCTTATTTAACCTTCTCATCAAAAAATTTTGAAATATGAATGAAAAAGTTATAAGACGAGCGTGATTGAGGAATACGCCTGTATATGTTCCTATTTTTTTTTTTAAGGTGCTACGCGAAGGTTTATAGATTGATGAACCTAAGTGTTTGGAGTATATCCCTAGGTGTGACCCCAGTTGTTGTATTCTATACTTTGAGTTTTTATTTGGTAAGTATTATTTAATTTAGTTAGTGTTTTTGCAGGTTAATGTGTGCTCAAAAAAAAAAACAATGGCTATCCTATATTTTTAATCAGATTATCAGATATATTTGGATTGGAACAATCAGGCAAATTCATCTATTCAAATGACGGATCAAAAATCTTCTTCAATCCAAACACTGAATGAGAATTCAAACCATTATTCAAACCGATGTTATCGAATGCGGCACAAAATAATCGTGGTAGGTAGATGAGAGATAATTCCAAACAAACGGAAGTAACGGAGTAAACCAACCAAGCTAAAAGAGAACAAAAACTTCAAAACTGAGAGAGTTTATATTTGTACGTGGAATAGAAAAAAGTACCTAAACCTTCCATTAGGCGCGCGAGTTTTATAACATCATTAGTCGCGCTGTATCACAGAGATACATATACTAAATCATTGATAAAAAAATTGAACCATCTGATGAATTTCGGTTTTACAATTTCTATGTATTGATTCGGGTACTCAACAATCAAAGATAGAATATTTTCACTGAAAAAGAGATTCCAGAAGTTGAATTCTATTTTCGCAGTCGTTGCAGTTTCGCCCACAACGCCCGGCAGCTTTAGCATAATATAGGTAAAAAGCCGAGCGCACCCGGAGTTTTTTGGAAATTCCAAATTTCCAGGTAGAAGTACGACCATGTAATTTTGGGAAAGTAATGAGTATAGGGTGCCTGAGGATTACTACAAGCCATAATATTATAGGGTTTTTCCTTTTTGATTTATTTGCAAAAATAATAGGCATGTATCTCTCAGATACACGCGCGACTAATGGAGGGTAAAATACTATTCAAGAAAACGTATAAGCTTCATAATAGACCATATACAATGGGATCTACGAACAACTACCTACCGGTTCAACGAATAAAATCACCACCAAAAATAAACTGCCCCAGTCTCCTCTAAAGTATACACTTTCTGCACAGGGCGTACCAACATTCCATTTGCAGTAGAAACACGCATCAAACGTACTGCACCATATTCGCTCCACGGCTGCATATTTTTCATCTATGCTCTCCACTGCAGTTTCTTGAATAAATTATCTGTGCCGGAAAAATTGATTCCATTGTCACTGTGTACTACTTTCGGTATTCCTCTTCGAGCAACAAATCTTTTTTTTTGTGTGCATACACTCTACAATCATCACGTAGGAAATTACATGTAGAGGAGGAAACATTCACATGCACCTTGCCGGGACTCGAACCTGATACCATCGACATGCGAAGCAGATCACTACCCACTACGCTGCATGATCTGGTTGGGTTTTTCACAAAACACTCAGTGAACAATGAACTCCCTCAGTCGCTTCGGAGTTAGCTAAACTAGCTAAGCACTTTTCTTCTTTTCAGCAAAAATCTCTGTTTCATTATATGTGACAATATAGTGAAACAACAAATTGGGATTTTCATAAAACCATTCAAGTACAGCTGTCGTAGTGAACAACCTCGTTATGGAAGCTCGGCAGAGTTTTGCGATCCAGGAACATGAGATCAGTTGTCCGTTGTGGCAGTCTTACTAATCTAATGATCCAACTAACTCTATTGCATAGAAAGTTACATCACTCTCTATTTCTCCTAATCCATGACAATACTGTTGTTGAATCTTTCCAGAAAAAAACACTCCAATGATTTGATTTCGAGAGCCTTTTTCACAGCTTTGTACACCTAGTGCCAATAACTGCCGCCAACAACTCCATCCGAGGTATAGTCACAATCTTCATTGGCGCAACTCGACTTTTTGCACCTAAAAGAGTAATATAAACCTAATCCTGATAGGCACATCTCGAAAAGACCCCCGTACCGTAGGCCCCTTAACTTGCGTCGTAAAACGTTTGTAAGCTCATTCTAGTTGTTTCACCAAACGCATTTATCCAACTTGCATATCCAGCGAAATGGGCAAAGCTTTTACCCAATCTTGGAACGACTTCTTGATGTTTTCACCAACTTCAGTGTCCCACGCCAACTTTTCCTTCCAAGTTTTCTGGAGTAACAACTTCGGAATCAATTTGGTCTGACAGGCAAATCCAATGGGATCAAACACCCTCTTAGGTAATGATACCATGATCCTGGTCACTGCCTTAGTCATAAAGTGACTCCAGATCTCCAACACATTTTTTCCTGATACCTACCCAAAGTGTCATCACGAGTAGTCCAAACAAGTGCCAGAAGAGGAACAGCCAGCAAGAGTACCAAAACATACCTACCCATCTTGAAATATTGCTATGAATGGTAAGACAGTGGGTCCTTATTCTTAAAACAGGGAAGCAACTTTCTCAGGGGAAAGCTTGTTCCGTCTTTCTCAATGATATGCAAATGATACCTAATATAAAGTGCGTTTTTTTTTTTAAAGATAAAAGTCAAACTGACATTAGGTTGGCAATACAATGTAAAATTGTCAATGCTATCAAATTTTTCATGTAGAAAAGGCTTGTGTTGCCAACATAGTTACTAAATTTTTGACTTGGGGAATTATCTTTAAAAAAAAAAACAGATTTTAAGTGAAGTCTGTTTTTTTTTTTTAAGATAATTCCCCCAATCAAAAATTTAGTAACTATGTGTAGTACGGGATACGAGGCCTATTTCATCAAATCATTTTACACCGTCTTGCATTGTTATCATCAGTTAGATAACATGATGCTGAAACGCACTTGCGCAGTAAAATATATGGGAGTGGGGAATTTAGCTGATAAAAATGTTTGAGAAAATGTCGTCATAATCCAGGAAAATATACAATTTCACACCGTCTTGCATTTACTTATTAAGTTAATTTGTACACAAACAAAATTAGAATACCCTATGCAAGACATTTTCCTGGGGGTTTTCGGGTTGTAATATTAGATAGAAATTTTCAATTTTTCAGAGGGGTGAAATATCATTTCACACCACTCAATTGTTGATTTAGATTAAAGCTTGAATGTAGAATAGCCATTGGATACTGATGCAAGACGTACTGTGAGGGGATAATGGGCTGCAAGACAGAGGTCAATGTGTTGTCTTATGAGGGAGGAGGAAATCATTTTACACCGTCTTGCACTGGTACTTATGGGAAAAATAGAACACATTGATAACATTTTTAAAAATACAAGACATTCTAAATGGGAAGAAAGGACTGCAAGACGATGATGAAGTTGACTAATTTTGACAAGGGTCAATCTATCAGGTACAAAGGTGAATACTACTTCAAATTACAAATTATGCACATTAATTTTAAATAGTTTTGCTCTTCACCACGTAGAATAATTCTATTTTGCGAAATTCTCCTAATAATATGTATATATGAATGTTTCTACGGACATCAAATAAAAAAAGATTGAAAATTGTTTTATTTTTGACGGCTTTTAATCATTTAGGTTCTCTTTGAGGTGGATATCCCATGACACATAACATGTTTTGTGCACATAACATTGTAAGCATTAAATTTGAAGAATTTCATTTTAAAGCAGCAAAAAAATGTGAAAATGACACAACAAATGATCTGTCTGAAATTGTAAACAAAAATTATAATTCCTGTATTCAACAGACTCCCCTGTTGAGCTGCTATGTCAACTGTCCTTTTTCATCTGTATGATTTAAAAAAGAATAAACATTGAACGGTTCAGTAAATAACTCAACAGTTCAGTGAAAAAATTAAAATGGATTTTTAAACTTTTTTCCCAGAAAAAACGTCTTGGACTGATGTAATACCATTTCTTAACATAGATTCTTTCGGCGGACATAAGCATGAAGTGGTGTAAAATAATTTTTCACTCCCTCATGAGACAACACATTGACATCCGTCTTGCAGCCCGTTATCCCTCTACAGGACGTCTTGTATCAGTATCCAGTGGCTATTATACATTCAAGCTTTGATATAAATCAACAATGGAGTGGTGTAAAATGATATTTCACCCCTCTCAAAAATTGACAATTTCCATCTTATATTACAACCCCAAAACCCCCATGAAAATGTCTTGCATGTGTTAATCCAATTTTGTTTATGTACAAATTAACTCAATAAATAAATGCAAGACGGTGTATAATTAAATATTTTCCTCGTTTATGATGACATTTTCTGAAACATTTTTTTCAGCGAAATCCCCCACTCCTATGTATTTCCCTGCACAAGTGCGTTTCAGTACCATGTTATCTAACTGATGATAACAATGCAAGACGGTGTAAAATGATTTGATGAAATAGGCCTCGTATCCCGTACTACATAAAAAAATTGAAAGCATTGACAACTTTTATCTTAAAAAAAAAAGGACTTTAACAAAGATGGAACACTCGTTCTCCTGGGAACGCTGCTCCCCTGTTTCAAGAATAAGAACCCTGGGGCCCGATTCTATCTCAGGGAGTAGGAGCTCCCCGATAGAACGAATGTTTTGTCCTTGTCAACGTTATCGAAAAATAAACGAGAATGATGAAGACGAAAAGTTTGTTCTATCGGGGAGCTCTACTCCCTGAGACAAGAGTCGGGCTGGCTCCACAGAAAACATAAAGGACAGACAACAGTAGGTACTAAAGTCAATTATCAAACATGGTGGACAGTCAGCACTGGAAGCAATAAGAAACCTCTTTTTCTTTAGAAGTAACTATGAGAGATGGAAATTTTTTGTAGTAATCTCGAAATATATAAAATAATTGAAAAGTTATCCATGAAACTTTATAGGAGGTCAATATGGACTATATACATACATAGAAAGTACCTAATATCGATACAGACCCAATTCCCAAGTGAGAATTTATAAATAGCCTATAATCAAAGAACCCAGAAGTAATGGGAGTATTATAATACTGGTTAGCAAATGAATGCCTACGACCTACGATGATGATCCAGAATCCAGAATCCACTTATTGTATGTTTTTCGAGATATTTCCCCTACTTTGAGTTTTTAGGTACCTACTGACGCTGCCCTTCAATCGACGATTATTAATTTTATTTTAGAATCCATCTAACGTTATCCTGGTAGGCGGATTACTCGATTCAATGTATTTATTGGCTATTGTTACTAATAAGGCACAATTATTAGAAGATAAGGTAAGTCAAATAGGTACCTAGGTAATGGGGGAAAACTAATTATGCAAAGAAGTTGAAAGACTCGTTCACTCGTTCGGTATAATGACTACACTGAAAATTAGGTTGGTACTATGGTTCTGAAGTTAGTTCAGTTATACCAAATATTAAACCTTGCAAAACATTTATTAGTGGAGTAAAATCGCAATGAAATTATGACTTTGAGAGTGAATCCGAGGTATAACCAGATGAAACCTATACCATCCTGTGGAGGACACTTTGGGGCGTAGGAAATGGGAATGTACAACTTTTTTTTAATAGGACTGAACTTTGAAATCGGCCCTTAAACGTGACTGAGCTGGAATTTGAAAAACTACATTTTTCTAAACATTACCCGCTGTATTAATTTAAGCATACAATCTAAAATTCTGATTTTTTGCACACTTATACTTGAAACATGAGCGCTTCTAATGAGAGTTCAGAAATTTCGGAAAGGTTCAAGGTTTTTCTGTTAAAAAGTTAGGAATTTCGAATTATCAAAATCGTGCATCTAAAACTTCACGCTGCGAGGAGCAATGTGAATTATTGAAAATTTCTATACATATACATATATCGAATCAAATGTATGTAGTAAAAACATTGACGAAGTTTTTTTAAAAAAAATAAGTCGCTAACTTTAAAACGGTTATAGAAATATAAATTTTTATCCGGGAGCTTTGAAATGCGCTCTAGCGCTCTGATGCTGAAAGCGGCTACCATTCTGGAAATCATCTGCGTTAGTGCGTTAGCGTTATATCTAGAAATAAAATAAAAAAATCTATAAACACAAAGTAAGTGATTGAATCGTTTTTTATGAAGTTCACTTTAAATATTTTCTTCTTCGTCATCCTCATATAAATCAGGAACATCATTTTGACAACTTTTGCAGGAACAATCGCTGCAGCATGTTAAACTAGAGGTGGAAAACTATCGATGGTAATTATCGATATATCGATAGTTTGCCACACTATCGAACTATCGATAGTTCTACTTGGACAATCGATAGCAGTCCTCCTATCATTTACATTCCATCTTTCATCATATTTTATGATTGTTTTTTATTTTGGTTGGTTGGTAGTTGAATCAAAACTAAAAAAGATTAAGATGAGTTTATGTTTTCTGTTATCATCAGTTAACAACAAACCTTCAACTCAACTACACTTTAATTCAGTTGTGTTTATATTTGTTTTTTACTTTCAGCTTAAAGAAAAAAAACGTGTGTAATTAAATATTGTTATTCACGATATTAAAATTCATTTGGGTATTGTTGTTCTTGATATGGTTTTGTTATGGGTCCAAAACGTAAACCCTTTTTTTTATCGATAGTTATATCGATGCATCGATAGTTTTTATTCGTTACTATCGATATATCGATAGTTGGATTCTTCGATAGTTTCCTACCTCTATGTTAAACCCTCTTTCAAGCAGACACATTTATTATTTTGACATAATTTATCTTCGCAGAAGATATTCATTAGTTGCCTTATATCCGTTGGTATGAGATCAGCAGTCATCAAAACAGGCTCGAGAATTCCATTATTCCTAGTCCAACCAAAGGTAACAGGGTCAAGTATAGGCATAATAGGTATATGACTGGACATCCATATACGCAGTTGATATATGCACCTGAAATTTTGGTTATCACATAAATACAGTTTCTTTTGTTATATAAGTACACCTCGTCAATTGATATCTCAATTCATCGAGGGTTTTCATGGCCTTGTTCTTATTTCTGAACGGACGTGCATGAACTGCGCACTTTCTTAATCTCTTAATGAGGGTTACTTTTAGAACCTAGAATACTTACCACGAATTGCGCACTGGTGCAATTGCAGGTAATTTTATAAATAATTATTCCTAATGGATACAACCCTAATAGAAGGTCAGTTTTATAAAACACATCCATCCTTGTATTTTGTATATATCTTAAATGAAATTCAGACAGAAACGTACATGAAATTACAAAGTATCGATGAAACTTAGAAAGAAAAGAGAAAAGATTATTCAGTATCCAAAAATAGACAAGCTTCAATATATAAAATGTTTAAAAGTTATTTTTATAAGCAATAGACTAATAATAATAACGAATTGTATATTGTTATGATTCATCTTTGTACATTTTTTTTCTTGTGTGAAAATATTGTTTCTATTATGGACATATTATTTTTATAATACTTAATTATCATAATCTTCGGGTGCGCAATTCGAGTACTGTAAATTTGGGGCCTCTTTTGTATAGTGCGCAATTCGTGTTAAAATAGATAGGGCCCAGGTATTAAGTGCGCAATTCGAGGCCGCCCTTCTGAACAGGGCCAATGCAAATTTGGTGGCAATATAAACAGCTTCGCTTGTAGACACCAGTGACGCTTTAACCTTTCTCTGGCCCGTAGGTCAATTATTTGCTATGGCCTTTCATGAGTGATTGTTCTTTTTCATGGAATTAAATAAAATCATTCAGACGATTTCAAACTACTAACCTGGCAGAATATGAAAAGTTGCCAAGTAGTATCCGGTAAAATCAAAGGAAGGTGCTACAAAATGATGGAACAAGAATGGTCACAAAACATGCTATATGGTAGGAACGTCCTAAAAGAAAATGATGGCATTGAGTTCCCAGCCTACCAATCACCACATATGGATGCTGGAGACTGTGTACTGATGGGTGCTTCGGTAGAACAGCTTGGGATTAAATCCATTAGCGAGGAAAAGATGCATAAAGGGTTGCAACTGTGAGGAAAATTCGTACCACGTTGCCTGTGCATGTCCTCAGTGGCGACGCGTGACCAGTAGTCTGGGGGGGGGGGGGGGGGGGGTAAATGGTACGGAGGGCTGAGAAGGCGCCCTCCAAAAACGCGCCGCAGGTGAAATTTTTCGCAAATTTCAAGGTCATTCACTTTTCCAGAACAATTATTTCATTTGTGAAAAAAATAAAACAAAACAAAAATGTATTTTCTTCAATATATTATGTATTTTCTTTTTGGCATCATGATTTTTCTCTTGATAATTCGATCCTGGGGGGGGGGGGGGGTAATTACCCCCAGTACCACCCCCCCCGACGCGACGCCCCTGCATGTCCTACAAGCTCAACAACAATAAGGCACGACTTCGTGGTACACTGGACCCTTAAGCCGCTGCTCAAGTCCCTGGGTGCTCCAGAAGAAGCTCAAAGAAACTTACAATTTGGCAAAGCAGCGCAAACACTAACAGGTTCCTGCTCCGTTGCCAGTTGCCACGTGCTCGTGCTGCGCTAATAACGCGACGGCGAGTTACCGCAGCTCTGTGACTTTAGGGCGTGTTCCGAATTGATGCTCGATGGAGCGAGCGGAGTGATTCCAGAGCATCGTGACGTCAGGCAGTGCACTCTGGGCAAACCAAATGTGCTTGTGTAGTATGATTTATAAGAATTAAAGAGTATTGAAATATATGCTAGTCCTGCTACTAAATAAGATAGAAACACTAGCGACACACAACCAGGTAACGCTGATGTGGCTGCCTGGTCATCGAGGCATACAAGGAAACGAAGAACCAGATGGCTTCGCAAAAGAAGGGGCCTCAATCAAAACCACCTATAGGACAAGGCCTGGAAGCAGTAAATTATGAGTCATCATAGGTGGACCAAAAAATGTTAACTCAAATCAAATCAAATCAAATCAAAATATGCTTTATTGTAAAAAGAGCAAAACATCTTGTCTACAAAGCAGAAAAATACAACAATAAGAAAAATACAATAAACACAATAATAAAATGTCAAAATTTAAATTCACAAACAACCGTAAGAGTAATAACAGTACAATAATAAAATAATAACTACAATATTAAAATGTCAAAAATTAAAATAACAAACAGCCGTAAGAATAGAAACAATTATTATAACTAAAAACAATAATACATATGAAAACAGAACATTAAAATGAAAGTACTTGACAAAATCAATAGCTGCAAACCTTGCTACAAACAATCATCATAATACTCCTCCAGGCTGTAATAAGACCTTGCCATCAATACACTCTTTACCCTCTTCCTGAACCGCGAGTATGGCAATTGTCTATATTCAGTTCCCAAATGGTTATACATCTTGAGGCCTTCATATATAATGGATTTTTTTGTAAGTGTCATTCTGGGAATAGGGAGACGTAGATTTTGGTTTGCATTTAATCTTGTGTTATGTAAATGGTCAGGGACCTCAAAACACGAGTTTTTGTGAATCAGACACACTGTTTCAAGAATAAATAAAGACACTACTGTCAATATCCCCTGTGTAATAAACAGTGGTCTGCAATGTTCCCTCACTCCCACCCGACACATAAATCGTATTGCTTTTTTCTGCAGAACAAATATTGAATTAAACAATTGTTGATTACAAAAACCCCAAAATGTTATACTGTATCGAAGGTGCGATTCAAAAAGTGAAAAATACACCATCCTTGCCGTCGCGGTACCCAATTCGTTGGAAACTACTCTAATAGCAAAGCAACCAGAGGCCAGCCTAGAGCTCAATGATGAAATGTGTCTATCAAATTTAAGTTTGTTGTCTATGAGAAGGCCCAAGAACTTAGTGACTGGTTCATTTTCGATTTGTTGATCATTTATCATTAAGTCATTAAAATTAAAACCAAAAGTAAGTATACTAGTTTTAGCGATATTTAAGCTGAGAGAATTAGCATCACACCAACCTTTGATTTTTGGTAAATCTGTAGTTATCATCTCCCTGAGATTCTCGCCTGTTTCCGCATGCCATAGAAGAGTGGTGTCGTCCGCGAAGAGAGTGAACTTACCCCGAATATTCACCATCGCAAGGTCATTAATATATACCAAGAAAAGAACAGGTCCCAACACCGATCCCTGCGGTACACCATAGTGACATACTAAGGGAGCCGACTCATCATCACCAACTTTCACCACCTGAACCCTCTCGGAGAGATATGTTTCGAACCACAGATTCGCCTTTCCCCGTATACCACAGCGGTGAAGTTTCCGCAGCAGCACTTCGCGATTTACGCAGTCAAAGGCCTTTGAAAAGTCGCAAAACACTGCTGCAGCCACATCTCCGCCATTCAGACTTGTGTAAAGGGTTTCCAGAAGCGAAAAGATTGCATCACTCGTACTCTTAGATGCTTGAAAACCAAACTGAGAGGGTGTTATCACATTAAATGCCGATAGAAAATGAACCAGCCTCGATTTCACTAGCTTCTCAACGACCTTCGAAAGGGTGGCAAGTAGCGATATAGGGCGGAAATTAGATGGATCTTCGCAATTACCCCCCTTGTGCAAAGGAATCACAACCGCCCGTTTCAAGCAGGATGGAAATTCTCCAGTTTCGAAAGATACGTTAATCGCATTTACGAGTGAAAGCAAAGCAGATTCTGAGAGATTTTCAAACACCTTAATGGACATTCCATCATACCCAGAAGAATTCCTATTCTTGATCTGCGAAAACACTTCCTTTAATTCAAGCACATCGACGGGGTGAAAGTAGAAACTGCAGGGAACATTGAACTCCCCAAGATAATCCAAAGGATCTTTACTACTTGTAGTATTGGATGTCGTTCTCTCGAACACAGAACAGAAAAAAGCATTCAGAGTATCAGGCTCCATGTTGACAGCTTTAGGACATGAGGCGTATCTGCCTCTTAAATCATTTATGACAGACCAGTTTTCCCTTGTGCTGTTTCCAGCCCGTGTGAAACGATGTTTATAATATAAATCCTTGGCATTCCTTATGGTTTTTCTGTAAATACGTCTATATGAATTAAAATAAGACACAAAAAAGTTGTTGTTAATATTAAATTTACGGATATAGTGCAGACAGCGCAAATTTCTAGAAGAGACTCTTATTCCAGATGTTACCCATGGTTTACCTTTTTCAGATTTTATTTTTATTTTTTTTATAGGAAATATTGTGTTAAAAAGGTCAGTTAGTTCGTGATGAAATGCACTCAATGGATCGGAAGATCCTGCAATGTGGTCCCACTGTACGGCTGCGCATTGCTCCCCAAAGGTTCTAAAATTTTTCGCACTAAAAATTCTACCCATTCTCCGTTTCTCTCCCATCTGATCCAGTCTAATCGAAAACCCTACCAAAACAGCCTCATGATCAGACAGCGCTGCAGACAAAACACTTACATCATGCAGATCAAAGTTTGTACAGAAATAATCCAAAATTGACGAGCAATTCTGGGTGATGCGCGTGGGACTGTTTACTTGCATTTGTAAGCTGAAGGACGCAAATATATTATCTAAGGTTTGAGTGGGCAAGGACGATTTATCAGCATAATTGATATTAAGGTCTCCTCCCAAAGCTAATTTAGAATTAATGGAAAAATTGCACAAAAGACTGTCAAGTCGCTGAAAGAAAATTGTCAAATCACAGCCCGGAGGTCTATAGATACATATTACATACATATTAAAATTATTTATATATACTATAGAGAATTCAAATTCTTTCTCAACCAAAAGCGCATTATATTTTGTTACTGAACTAATATTGTAATTATCACAGACATTTTGTTTCACCAGAATCGCAGTACCACCGTGAATTGAGTTTTCACGTGAAAAAATGGAAATCGCCAAGTAACCAGGAACATAACATGGTTCATAAGGTTTTAACCAATGTTCGGTAATCAATAAGATTTCTGGTCCATCCTGGTCTTCAAGAAATATAGACAATTCGTCTGTTTTGTTTCTAATCGACTGAATATTAAGCAGAAATATGAAGAATGAATCACTTGACCTTTTAAAGTTTGGTTCCCTATTAATTAAATTTTTTCTGTCGATGCTGTAATTTACATTAAAAAATGCTGTGATAAAAGTTGAGTTATTTTTTCAGCTATCTTTATTTTTCCTATAAATTTTAAGGTGTTTGCTCGAAAAATAAAGGAGGAAGAGTTTAAAAAAGAGTTCAAACCTACATACTGAGCATTGCCTCCTAACTGATTCTGGACAAATTCATACATCTTAATATTTACTTGATCGATAAATCCATT